AACCATGTGTGAGGCCAATTAAGTCTATATGTTGCATAGTTGAGGCCAATACGTTAATTTCTGAAACCACGGGCCAAAGTTGATTATATGGTCATAGTTCATGCCAAAATAAGGTATTAAGGAAACAAACCAATTCTTACCTATCACGCCCACCGTCAATCCAAATCACCATCAACATCATCGTTGCGCGACCATCACCATCGTCGTCCTTGCCACTGCCATAGGCTTCGCCGTCGCACTGTCTAGAAACATCGAGATATAGACTGACGAAGTAGGAGAAATAGAACAAAGCTGAATTGATATCAGTTTCAGATCTAAAGGAAATAGCACAAAAGTCGCGATCGACAGAGTGTTGGCCTGCCCCCGGTTATCAGTGGAATTCTTGAAGACGTTGGTAAACTGTTCAAAGATTTTTTTTTGTCTTGGGTAAATAAAATATTAGTAATGAAAAATAATTGTAAGACAAACTTGGGTTAGAAAAAAGTTTAACCAATAGTATTAAGCTCAACCTGTCTAGATTAAGTGATGGGTCAAAATCAAAGATCGTGATTTAATATGATATATTTCACGGTCAAGACTCAAGAGCGGTAACTGTACCACAGTCCACATCCAGATAGTGTTTAGTTAGCAGCAGAGGTCCAAGATTTGTGAGTTTGTATCGATTGGGTTCTACATTGTGGGTTTTGAGTATTGTTGAGATAAAGCTTCTGCAAGCCTGATTGCAAAACTGGAATCCGTGAAACACGAGTGTATGAAATCTCATGCTAGGCTATTGTGTGAGAGTAGGTGAGCGTTTGGTTTCCATTCTTGGATTCGAAATCAAGAGTTGTTGGTCATGATTGCGTCTCTAATTGGTTGCGGCAGAATGTCGGGCCAGTAGTGTTTAGTTAGGCCTGAGGCCGAGTAACCGTCTAACCTAGACAGCGGGCCTACTAGCGATGGACAATATTCCTCAAATCTTTTGTTATGGTTAGGAATGGCAATGGGCAGGTCCGGGGTGGGTATTTCGATACCCATACCCAGCCCATGGCAGGTTGGGTAATTTATTACGGGGTGCGGGTTGGGGCAGGTCGACCCATTGGGTATGTAATTTATGTGAAGATATTAGAAATATTCGTTCTTTTCATTGAAAGACCAAGAAAGAAACCATAATATGATAAAATGTAGTTAAATTATTGAAGAAATTGAGGTTTTTACTTATTTACAACTTTATTATAGCTAAAATATAATGTAATAAGAGGAAAATATTAAGTAATTTAACTAAGATTATATGTAATTTAGGCAAGAAAGGGTCGAGAATGGGGCGGGTCAGGGCAGGTCGGGTCGATGAGAGGTACCCATGCCCGCCTCGCCCCAAAATAGGTCAGGTAAATCGGGTCAGGTCGAAATTGCCATCCCTAGTTATGGATAATTTATATTGAGAGATTGATATTTGATAGAAACTTGAATATTATAAAAAAATTTATTGTAAAAAGCCATGGGTACCCATAAACCCGCGGGTACCCAGCGGGTTGGGTTTGATTTTTTCAAACCTAATAAGTTTTACCCTGGGGTTTTTTTTACAGATAAATTCATGGGTTTGGCAAAACCCGACCCAACCTGACCCATTGCCATCCCTAACTGCAAGTAGTGTTCAATGGTATAGGTCTGCACTGGACCGAACCGTAGTTAAGACTGGACCGAACAGACCGAGTATAATGCGATATGGTACTTGGTCCTCATGAATTTTATAATTGCTAAAGAAATGATGGACCGAGCTCATTTGTACCCGTCCGAACTGGACCAAACGGACGAATACAAGGATAGTCCAGTACTTGGTCCCAAGGTGTCTTTCATGAATGAACCACTGTTTTCATGAGTTTGTTCCGATCATGACTAGACTAAACCGTTGCACACTCCTAGTTGCAAGTCTTTAACGTTTTAGACCCTTTTTATTATTGATAACACGTTTATAATTCCTTTGTTGACAAAACACGTTTAGATTATTTGACAGTGAGTTTATAGGGTATTAGGGCGTAAAAAAGAAATTTTTTTATTACCCAGTAACCTCAGCCTCACTTGCTACTTTTGTAATAGTGGGGTCTACTAAATTTGGGGGCCACATGCAATCAATTTGACGCCAACGGGGCTTCGCCCCCAACAACCTTATACCTTATAACTTTAATCGGTTTGGTTAATTGGTTAACCATATTAACCAATATGACAACACATTATCATTAAGTAAGAAAAAAATTAAGTTAATGCATCAATTCACAAATTTATATAATGAATGAAACATAACAATAAACATATAGTTATAGTTAACCTTTAACATAAATACATGCAACTAATACAATTATCATACACTCGATAGAAGTATTTACCTAACAAAAATATATGCCAATGGTATGGGGTTAATGAGTTGTTGTGTTTGTGTAAATTGAATTAGTCCCTTAGCAATTATCATAGGTTGAAAAAGACCTTCTTTCCAAGTTTTCATTCAACATAATGTACGAGTTTTTATCTAAATTAGGTGTCCATATGTTATGGACTATTCTTTACAAATACAAATATGCATTATATGAAGAATATTGAGCTATATTTTTCTAAAAGGGATGAACATTTGACTTTTGAGTGGTTCTGTAAAGTATTAAGTATGTGTATATAATATATGTTAGACATATGACTAATTACTTAACTGGTTAATTTGGTTTGATTGGTTATGAGTGTCTGAAACCAAACCACCTAAACAAAATAAGCTAAAAAATTTACCCAAACAAAACCAATTATCCAAATTAATCAAACTAAATTATTCGAATAATTAAAATGATTACCACAGTAACTAACTCCGTTAAAACACCATAAAAAAAATTAGTAGCCACCGCCTGAAGGAGAGTATATAGGATTATGGTTTAATTATCGGTTCCCTGGAGTGAAAACAATAGTTGAGTATATAAACTGTTTAAGAATATTATTGAGTGGAAACTGGTTAAATCAGTTCAAGTAGAGTACGGACAAGAATAGTTTATCAGATAGACTTGTTTACTCCAAGCGTAGCGAACATCTTCAGAAAACTCAAATACTAGTTTGGTTCTTTGTATATATCGCCTTAAATGTAAACTAATTGTAGGAGTGGGTTAGAGTAGACTATATCGTCCTCAAAGTTCAAGAGCAGACCCAAGTCTGTTTTGTGAAGAAACAAAATTAGGAGACTTGTTTGGGTAGACTATACAAAACACGGTTAAATGACCAATAAACTAGGGCATTGCTATTCGTCGCCCTAAAATTTCTTATTCGTCGCCCTAACTAAAATAAATTTACTTTAACACCCTTAGTTCATTTATTTATTTTTTAAACAATTAAAAATTAAATCCCAAATTAAACTCATTTAATAATTAATTTAATATAAATTCTAAGTCTAAGCTCGCTGGCGACGGGTTGAAAACCCGTCCGGCCAAGAAAAGAAAAATTCCTGGGCACGTCGGGTCGATGGTGGTCGTCATCTCCTTTCCTTCTTCTCCGCAAGGGTTGGTGGGAACAGCAACGACTCCGACCTCCCCTCTTCCTCCTAGTTGACAGCGAACACGTGGAGCGAATCGACGGCGGCAACGGTTGCAGCTCCGACCTCCTTCTTCCTTCTTCGTCCTCCGTCCAATGCCTGGAGGGTTCTGGGCTTCGAATGCACTCTCCAAATTGGTGCTTGTTTCTCAGGCGGATCTTGTGAAGTACCATAGTTTTCAGAGAGCCGGGGAATCACCATCTGAGTATTGCATTTGGCATCTAAGGCCCTAGACTAAAAATGAATGTCAAAGGAGGTGGGTTAGGCGGCGGAGGGAGAGATTGTGGGTAGCCGGCGGGAGGGATGTGGGTATTGCCGGCGGGAGAGTTTTGGGTAGGCTTGGATAGAGATTGTTTGTTTCTAGGGTTTAGCTATCAATTTGGGAGAGGGGGTGTATGTGTCATTTGGTACGGTTTAGGGCGATAAAAATTTAAATTTTAGGGCGACGAATAGCAATTCAGATAAACTAAACGATAGAAAGAGGGTGAATGTCATATTTAGTCACTGGGATTAGTAAATCGTGTTATGTTTAGTCATTAGAAAAAAATCAATATCAATTTTGGTCACTCGAATTACTAAAATAGGTCACATTTAGTTAATCTCCCGTTAGCTACCGTCCAACTACGGTTACTCGAATTACTTTTTTTTTTTTTTTGAATGTCACTCGAATTACTAAAATATGTTACATTTAGTCACTCTCCGTTAGCCTCCATCCAACTCCGTTAATGGAGTTGGACGAAAACTAACGAGAGAGTGACTAAATGTGACATATTTCAGTAATTCGAGTGACAAAAATTAATATTAATTTTTTTATAGTGACTAAACATGACATGATTTAGTAATCACGGTGACCAAATGTGGTATTTACACAAAAAAGGAGTATAGACCATGACAGCCAAAATTGGGAGGCTTGTTTGGGTCACTAATCCCACGTGGTACTCCGTTATATAGATTCAGTTTTGTTTTCATAATTAATTCAGAAATTCTGTGGTGTCGTTACTGCACCTGTACCGGAAATTAATCTGACCGGTTTTGTATGAAAGAATATTCTTCAACCAAAGAAAAAGGTAAATACAATATAATAACCATAACTATTAAACAACATGGAATTATAGCCACAACTATTGAAATACAAATTATTAGCCAACCGTTAATTCTCCGTTAACACTTCCATTAGTAATGCTCACTAAACATTTTACGATGCTGAGCTGGTTCCCACGTGGCAGTCATCATATCATATTTTTTACGATGCTGACATGGCATTCTCCGTTCAAAATTTGAAAACATTAACATGCTTTTAGCCAAATCTTGACCCGCAACAATAGCTATGACTAATAATTTATATTTCTATAGTTGTGGCTATAATTCCTTGTTGCTTAATAGTTATGACTAATATATTATATTAATTTTTTTTTTATCTGACCGGTTTCGTATGAAAGAATATCTCGGCCCCGCAGAACTCGCATCCAAAAAAATATCGAAAGGGAACATTTGCCAACTGACAGAGTGACGCATCAACTATTTTTATCTGCCGTCCACTCCTATGCCGGAGTTTGGTGAAAAGAGCTAAGCGAATCAATCCGCTCCAGCAGGAAAGGGTTCCATCTCGCACCCTGTTCACCATCCAGCAGCTCCGAAGGTATGGGATCGCCGGCGGCGGATGAGGATCTCCCCCAGGTCCTAATAATTAGGAACCCGCCCGCGTTCACCATCGACGGAGAAGAGCAGTTCACTTCCCCCAAGTTCCGGTTCTTGAAGGCCTTCGAATCCACCCTCCCGCCGCACGATTTCTTAGCAGCCCGCGCTCGGTCCGTACGGGCGATGCTCGCCTCTGGCGGCGCCGTGGTGGACGCCAGGGTCCTCCAATTTTTACCGGAGTTGCGCCTCATCGTCACCACCACCGCCGGGCTCAACCAGCTCGACTTGCCCGAGTGCCGCCGCCGTGGGATCAGGATCGCCAACGCGGGGGATGTGTATTCCGCCGACGTCGCCGATTGCGCCGTCGGATTGTTGATTGATGTGCTGAGGAAGATCTCCGCTAGCAATCGCTACGTCAAGCAAGGGTTCTGGGCCTCCAAAGGAGACTATCCCCTTGGTTCCAAGGTTAATCTAACAAACCCATCCTCGGTTTCACTAGTTGCTGCTGGCATGTGTAATTCTGGGTTTGATAAAGTAGAAATTCCAGGGATTGCTCTTCTGGGTTTTTTCAGATTATTTAAGTCCACTAGTGCTGCTGGGCCTGGTTTTAAGTATAAGAATTGAATTGACCAAAGTTCAAGAAGGCATAATTCTGCGTAACTAGGCAGTGCGCAGAGACAAAACGCCTCGTCTAGGCTCTTAGGCATACAATTAGACTTTCATATTGCTTAAGCGGCAACCATACGAAGTTAGACACGATTAATTGGCGTTAGGTTTGATTAATCGAATTGAGGCGCTCTTCCGAAATGACTTCTTCAGTTCTTCTCCAGCTCTGGTCGACCCAACTCTCTGCCTTACTCTTCACCGTTGTAAATCTAGGAAATGGTGACATATTTTGTTGCTTGTTGAGTGTAAATCTAGGCGCTAGGCAGGGTCCCAACATCTGCCTATCACCCTAGCGCCTTCTTGAACTTTGGAATTCACCCATTGATTGATCATTTTGCTCTGTTTCAGCTCCGAGGCAAGCGGATTGGAATAGTGGGACTGGGTCGAATCGGGTACCAGGTTGCCAAAAGACTCGAGGCATTCGGCTGCAGCATTGCATACAACTCCAGGAAGGCAAAGCCTGGGGTTTCATACCCTTTTTACCAGACTGTCCAAGAGCTGGCTGCAAAAAGCGACGCTCTGGTACTCTGCTGCGGATTGACAGAGCAAACCCGTCACTTGATCAACAAGGAGGTGCTGGCTGCGCTGGGGAAAGACGGTGTGATCGTCAACATTGCTCGGGGCGGGGTGATCGACGAGAAGGAAATGGTCAGGTGTCTGATGGAAGGAGAGATAGCGGGTGCAGGACTGGATGTGTTTGAGAACGAGCCAGATGCTCCTAAAGAGCTGATGGAGCTGGACAATGTGGTGATGAGCCCTCACTGTGCTGTTTTCACTAGGGAATCGTTGCTGGACGTGGCCCGGCTTGTTGTGGGGAATCTGGAAGCTTTCTTCTCGAACGAACCGCTGCTGTCTGAGTACGAGGATGACTGATCAGCTTCCCTGCTGCACTTTGAGGTTGGTTGGTTGGTTGGTTGTGTACCTGAGACATACAAAGCTGCTGTTTGTTGCTTTACTGTGTAGAGTATTGTGGTGGGTTTTAAGAAGTTGAGTCATTTAGATGGCTTAACAGCTAGGTTGTGTTTAGTTAGCAGCAGAGGTCAAGGCATTTAATAGTGCTGCTGTTGTTCCTGGGAAATGAGGCAAGTGGTTAGAAGTGGGAGTTGACGAGTTGTATTTGGCAGATTGTATTTAAGCTTGCTTTGATAATTCAATAAGATTTGTCAGGTTGTATCATTAGGGTTCTGCATTGTGGGTTTAGAAGAGTCTTCTTGCAAACGGTAACGAGGTTTTGATTGCTGTTGAGATAAATTCCTGCATGTCTGATTGTGGGTTTTGGTCAGGATTGCGTCTCTAATTGTCTGTGGCAGAATGTCGGGCCTCGTTGTGTTTAATTAAGGCCGAGGCCCAGTAAGCGTCTGCCCTGGCCAGCAGGGTGATGGACAATATTCCTCAAATCTTTTGTGAACCCCATGGGCTGCAAGCCTTTCAACGTTTTAGTCCCTTTTTCTTTGTGATAACAAATTCAGATTTTTCTGTTGACAAAACACGTTTAGATTATTTGACTGTGAGTTTATAGTGTAAAAGAGAATTTGAAGACAAGCTAAATTGTACGGACCGGCACAGTTTTAAGTTTTAACTTTATGGTCACAATAATTTACTATATTAACGTGGAAAATGAAATTATATTGTTGTAAAATGGAAATTAAAATGGAGGAAAATGAATGATGGAAGGTGAGATCCAGCTACGGAAAAGGATAGTGGTGGAAGAGAGGATTTCTCTACTTCAATGCAAATAACCGCAGCAAGGATTGTCCCCACCAAATATTCAATGCCTCTCTTACTTACTCATCGGTGTTGAAATGGTGCAATCGGAGAATTTTCATATTGAAATCTAGACGGTTAGAAGTTTTTTGCGGTGTGAAATGGTTGAATCGTGATTTCAGTATAAAATAATCTATAAGTAATTTTTTTTACAACTTCCAATACAAACTTACATTTTTTACTCACCGGCCACTTTCACATCTCTGTCTATCCCATATGAAGGTGATGGATTTACTGGAGTTACATTTTTTAGAAGGTGGAGAAGAAACGAGGTGATGAATTTACTGGAGTTACATTTTTTTTAAGGTGAAGAAGTAACGAGGAATCAATTTAGGACAACCTGCCCCAAACCCAAATGAAGGAGGTGGTGCTGAATCAGGGAGGAAAGGGGGAGAATCAAGATTCAAGGGGGGGATTAATGATGATAATCAATAATTGATTATTGACTGCCTTTGATCACATGAAGAAAAGTCCGGCCAGAGGAAAAAGGGTTGGCTTTGCAGCAAGACGACACCCACGATGAAAAGGCAACAAAAAAGCACACAGAAGAAAGGGTGGTGGAGTGAACAAAAGTAGTGGTATGGGGTAATGAAGTTGTCGTTGCCCCTTTTGTTTCCTATTTTCTTTCCAACACCAAAGAATTAGGGTTTGGGGTAATAGTATTGTTATTGTATATGTGTGAATGAACAGATTGCAAAAAAGAAGATTAGGGTTTGGGTGTCATGAAAGCAGAGGGCACATTGTTCTAGGCAAACCCAATCACTTTGTCATGCCAGCCAGAGAGCTAGAGCATTAGAGCATATGAGTTGTATAATTGATCAGGATTTGCCCATTTGGTCAATGCACCAGCTGGCCCCAAACAAATTATAATTAGTTTTCTAATCAGAGACATCAAATAGTTGGCAAAAAGGTGATTAAGATGGATAATTAAGAGTTGCATATTGAGGATTCAGACCTTGAACTTCTAAAGTTGAAGAACAACGACAATTTCACTAGATCAAGTCATGTATTCGCACATTTAGCATAATCTTATCATTACAAACTGATAATCGTTGCTCTTCGTTGAACTATTACCAATGCAAGCCGAGGTAAAATTGTCGAGACTCAAGGAAAAAAAAAGGCTCTTGAGTTCGATTGTCCAAACTTTTACTGGATTTTCGGATGCACTTCAAGTAGCAGAGCCCAAGAAATTCTACAGGCAACGAGTCGATTAAAATCTGTAGTATCGGCCCATGATAGAGATACTCTTGGTTATAGTTAAGGTTTGAAAAACTATTGTCTTTTTTATTGTTTGATCACTCTATTCGTTACCCACACACATAGATTAGGGTGAAAATGGGTTGGCGTAATGCCAACGTTACGAGCCATTTCCTCGAGATCCCACCACCATGGTCAAAAATAGAGGGCTTTCATCAAATAGGTAATAAGTGCAAGCGTAACGGCGGCGACACCTTGTTTGACCGGCAGGCGGAAGCTCACGGCGGCGGGAAGCTGAGTCATAAACCCGCTTTCACCTTCTTTCTAGCTGTCATATTGATGATGCAAGGCAGTATGTACCTAAGAAGTAAGATCTCTATTCTACTACATCCTTCTTAGCAGTTAGCCCCACTCTTTTATGACACTTTAACAACTTCTAGATTCTAGCTTAACTCCTTTCCTTGAGAATCAAGGTGACCATCCTCTTCTAATTTCTCTCATCAATGACCTAATCTCATTACGTTAGTTCAGTACATTCTTACCGTCGAAAGATATGCTACGGATTTACCGTTGATATCGCTCTTATAAAAAAAATGACAAAAGGGCATTTAGATATATGTTCATACGAGTAACACTTACACAACCATTAATCACACTCTAAAAAAGGGGGGACCAACATAAACGATCAAATTACCAAACTTCGCCCATCAAATTCAATCCCATCAAACCGTAAGACAGCTAACAACCGGACTGACCAGAACCAGAAACCAACGAACCTGCCCACTACCGACACTCTCACTCTTCAATTAGAACACACTAATCCCACTCATCATTTCCCATTTACATTATCGATTAATTAATTAGGAACATAGCAAAAAGTGCTATTGAAAACATCTAATTCGAGAGATTATTTATCAGGGTGCAAAAATTGGGTACTAATTAGAAACTAATTACTTGTCATTCTCCCAAATCCATCATACATACAAATTGCAAATTCTAAAACAGAAAGATCCTGAAAATTAACGAAAATATTTCTATAAAATCCCTAGTAAGATACAAATACGTTTTTTTTATTTTTTTTTTCTTTGTTCAGCAGATTACCAGATGCAGAGGAAGCTCCCCTGTTACAGCTCATTTTTTTCCCCTCACCACAAATCCCGCCATGGATTCCGCGCCACCTTCGGGAATTGGAATCTCCGTTGTCTCCAATGCCATTTCCCTTCCGTTTCTTTCTCCCATGGCTGGCTGAAGCTCTCCCACTCAGATCTGGCCAACCCTGGTGAATTATTCCGCTAACTCGAGTAAAATTTCCAATCAATTTTTTACCCTTCCCCTGTTTCTATGCCTGAATGAGGAAACAGAGCAGAACAGAGAGGAGGAGCAAAGGGGAGCTGATGATCAAGCCGGCGGCAGAGTTGCCGGGCGGCGGCGGACTGTAGTAGTAGAAAGGGAAGTAAGGGACGATCGGGTTCGGCGGCGGCGGGCCGGGGTAGTTCTTGTACGTAGGCGGCGGGTAGTTGTATGTGCCGCCGATGCCGCCGCCTCCCTTCGCCGGAGGTGGGTAGTAGCCGGAGGACGGCGGAGGCGGGGAGTAGTAGTACGATCCGCCGGACGATGACGGCGGGGTGGGCGGCGGGGGGCAGAGTGCTGTCGCCGGCGGCGGCGGGGACGGCGGAGGAGGGGAAGGCGGCGGCAGTGATGGGGTCGGAGTGGTTCCGCAGCAGGTGTTGCACATTTCGCAGGCGATCTCGTACAATGTCCGGGATTTCGCCGCGGCGGCGGCGGGGGAGAGGAGTGCGGTGAATGTTAGGAGGAGGGCGACGGCGGTTGCGCCGGTTCCGGCCATGGTGATTGGTGGGGGTGATCTGGTTTTTGGGTTGAATTGGGAGAGAAAGGGGGGAGAAATGAAGGAGCGGAGAGGGAAAGAAAGCGATGGAAGTGGAGAAGAGCGTGTGTTAAAAAAGAGAAGGATTGCTACGTTGGGATTGTATTGGTAAATTGTTATTTGGACTTGGGATGGAAATTGGGAAGGTGTGCAATGTATAAGTAGACTAGTGCCTTCATTTCTAAGGGACAATTACAAAAGGTACCCTTAAAGTTTAGGGTCATGAAGAAATGGTGGTCTGAACTTTTGATTTTCATATTGACCCGCCCTTGAGTTCTGGAATGACTAACATGGTAGCAACTCTCTGATACGATCGAACGCAAGTTCGGTCGTTCAATGCCTCCACGACTGGAGATGTAGTGATTGTGGTTAGACTAGGGTCGCTCTATAACAGTTGATACTACAAGTTTTAGAGCAATTCTTCGTTAGTTTGAGTTTTGAATTGTAACTTTGATAACCTACGTGCTTAAGCTCTTGTAAATGAGAAAGATCTATTGTGGTGGGAGGGTGTAAGAGGTGGCTACATGAGCATGGTGGATTATAAAGCGATATTTAGGTAGTGGTACACTGGCTCGAGGAAGAATACAGTATGGACCATCTAGACCAAGATTGTTAACGCATTTTGCTCTTCGATCAAAAGAATCATCGAGCACCTCATGTTGCGGAGATGGCATCATGGATTCATTGTTTGTTTAATTCCAGTAAATAGTATTATATGTAAATAATTCGCTCGTACCTACTTACTACCCGTATGATAAATTGTTACATTCATAATGTGTTCAATCTTTAATGTTATCTATGATAATAATAAAAAAAACAAAAGATAAAGTCTGTTTTACCAATCATTCGTCATCTCTTTCATCTTCTAAAGTGTTCACCGAGCTTTTCGTGAAAAAGAGAAGATTTAGGACCTTTTTCGTTAGTCCGGCTAAGCACCAACCGAAGTAGTGTGTCAGTTCATTCAAATTGGTTTGCATTGAAGTTTAGGCTATGAGCAACCATATCAACTTAATATGGTCTGTGACTCTATATGGTCATTTCCTTATTGATTTAGATGACTCGAAACATTAATTTGGATGAAACTGGTGACATGATAATTATTTCAAAACCTCTCGATAAGTTGATTAAAAGTCGAAACTTATTAACTTGTTTGTTATCTTTCCTATTTAGTGGCCGTTTATGGTAATTGACCCTTTTTATATAACAATGTTTTGGAAGCTACGGCTATGGTAAAATGTGTATTGATCCAAAGTTGCGATTAAAGCAATAGAAAATTTAGTTGGCCGAAGAAAGGGAGACTTAACAAACAATTGTCAAAAAGATGACACCGACACCTTTTACTTTTATTACCAGCGATTGTCTTCCACACCCGCGAACTATACGCGTTGTCCT